ATTCTTTTTATATTTTTTTCTAGACTCTTTCACAATAAACACTGTAAATGAATAAGCGTAGTTGCAGTGTACTACTTCAATCCCAAAGCAAGCTCTTTAAATTACAAAAGCAGAAAACTATTTATTGGGTGAGTAGTAATACTAATCTTCAGTATGAAATAAAATGGGATTGATAAGCCAGATACATACATTTTCTTTTCCAGTTAGGCAGAAGGCTTTCTACTGAGATCTTCATTTTTTTAGTATTTCTAAATATAAAAAATTGGAATGTATAGCTCTGATATTTATGTATTGCTTATCTTTTCTACTTTGGATAAAGGAGAATCAAGTGGCCACTGGAGTTGGACAGTAATATATTTGAATAAATATAAATAAATAACTAATAAAGCAAAGAAGACAGGAAAGATTAGACATTAGGAGAAGTAAATGTTGGAAATAAATATAGGAGATCCACAAAATATTAGTGCTTAAGGCACCAGGCTAGAAACCAGGAAACTGTGAGTTGCTCCTCAGACATGAAGGCAAAACTAAGTGACTTTCAGCCAGTCACTATGTCTCAGCATAACTCACCTCAGAGGGTTGTTGTTGTTGGTAAAATAGGAGGAGGAAGGAGCATTAGGTATATTTGCTGCCTTGAGTTATTTATAAAAATGATAAAGGCAGGATAATAAAAAATCAGATAAGTAAATTACCTAAAATGCGATGGATATTGATATTTAAACTTTGAGGCATTTCTGTGATGGGTTTTTATTCATTTTTAAAATTTAATAAACAGTTCACCTTTTCAAATTATATTTAATCAGTCACAACAATCTCCTATATTGATGACCACTTGCAGATCCTATATAGGAATAACTGTACAGGGCAGCCTATTTTTCTATGTAGCTGTGCATATTATTTGAAAAGGGGGGCAAAATACCACACCGATTTCTGAGCTTCGTTTCTTTTCTTTTACAAGAAATAATAGACATATGGAAACAATTCTGCCCAAATGGACTGGGACCAGAGATGAATTGAAAAAGCTTAGAGTAGAAGTAGACTATCCTGAAAATTGGTGGCATGACTTCCTAGCATTCTCAAATGGGACAGCACATAAAGCAATTTTAAATTAGGATTCACTAGTTAAAAATAATTTCTTTCCACAAATCTCTGTATCTCAGAATGAGACAACTTTACCCATTGCAGCCTTAACTCACTCTTCCACAATCTATTAAGAGCAGCCTTAACCAACAAAAAAAAATTGCCTCCTGCATCCTAGAACCTTAATTTGTTCCCTTCTTGGCTATGGCTGCCTCTTCTGAACCCAAAATGCTTTTTAGAAGTAAGACAACATAATGGAAGAGGAAGATGAGGACAATGATGACAGCAGACAAGAGAATTCTATGACTATCTTATAGGTATCTCTACATTGACTGGTTAGAACATGTAGTGTAATGGTACTCAAATAGCTATGGTGTAATTCTATAAATTAAGCAAGAATTCTTTACAGTTTCAATCCTGAGAACAGAAAGTGTCTGCAAGAAGAATATGGACTTCAGACAAATTATTCTTGACCATCATACTCAGCAAAAACATTGCCATGGATTTTTCTTCCTACTTTTATTAATAGAAAGGAATTTTCAGATAAAAAAGTGAACCAGTGATCTCTGATTTACTCAGGATAACTCTGAATGCTTCTACACCTAAAGTTGTTATCATATGGACTAGGAATTTTCACAAATGTCTTACTTGGAATTGGGGAAAACTTTCTGCACTCAGAGCATTTGTGAAAACTATTACTGAAGGTTGAACACATAAAATAAAAATTAATTCAAATAATAACAGCAACCTATTACCACTCTATGGTGAAAAACTATAGAATCATTAATTTCTCATGCAATAGATGAGCTTTTAGAGATATAAAAGAATTCCCATTAAATGACTATTAGGTCATTATAGGCCAGCTCACTATAAATTTAGAATCTCTCAGATTATAGAATGGACAGAAAGCTATTCTTGGAACTACAGCAAAATTACCTTGCAGAAATTTAGCAACTATGCAAGGCACTGTCTTTGAAATTATTTGTTTTATGTCCATTGACCAAATATTACTTAAAATGTGCAACATGGTAAAATTTTGCATTTTGAAAGAAATAAGAAAGAATATTTGAATTTTTCTTCTTAGGTCTTTTCTTAATGGAGGATGGAGAGAAATATAGTGATGTATAGATGGAATAAATACATATGGTCAGTTTTCATTCACTTGAAATACCTTTTAGGTCTAATTTTTAAAGATTTTAACTTAAATTTAGCAAAAAAAAAGAGTACCATAATAAATTGTACAAAACATTGCTTGCTATAGTATGAAACTCTAAAACTCTTAAACTTTCAGCTTTATAGTATTTTTTAAACACCCACCTCCCACATACACACACATGGGGACAATCATATCTCTAGCAAAGATACTCTCTGAAATATTCACTATGAAGACCAAAATGCAAACGCCAAGTAGGTGTGTACAGCAAATCTTCTCCTGCAGCATACAACTAGACTTGCCACTGTGAAATATAGTAGGAAACTATGATTCAGCTAAAAATCAGTTACTCAGATTACTTATTGTCTGCCAAAATGATCAGTTCTCATGCTAAAGGGAAGGGGGGCTGTTAACAGTAGGAAATATTCTCTAATTTCAATCCTAAGGCTTTAGATTTTTATTTCCAATGATGTCCAACCACTTACTTTATGAATAACTTCCTGATCTGAAACCAAGCCATTCTGGGGAGAAGATAGAATTTGTTTTAAGTAGTTTTGTTTTGGTGCCTTTATAAAAATTCATCTCTTCTGTTAGATATGTATCTGGTCTAGTACAGGAAGTTGTGTCTGTTTCTGAATAGACTAATGAATAGAAATACTTATCATCATGTGTTGGACAAGGTTTTGAGAGCAGATGACTATATTAATAAACAAAAAACAAGTGAAATACTTTTTAAAAACTAAACTAAGAAAGCACTCAAAATAAAAGCATCTACTCACACAGGTTTTAAAAACTGAAGGTGTTTGAAAGTTTCAGAAGTTATATAAAAGACCTCGGTGAACAAAAAACTTTAGTTCATATAGAAAAGACTACATGGAAAAGAAAAGAGAAAAATATTGTATAGTCTGGTTGACATTATATTCCCATACACATCCTCCTATTAAAAATAATATTTTTTAAAAAGAAATAGGGTTTATGGAAAGAATTATAATCTTTTATTTAGGGTGGGAACCACTGGGCGCCATTACCTTGCATGCCAAAAGAAGAGAGGAGGAGATGTATACTGATTAATGTGTTGGACTGGACAATGAAATCGGCAGGTTCAAGTCTACTCACAGCCATAAAAATTTGCTTTGGGAAAAAATGAGTAGAGCTATATATGTTGCCTTCAGCTTCTGAATAAATGGGGAGGGGGGAGAGAGTCAAGAGTGGCAGTTCTCACTGACCTCTTTTAAGTTGATCTAACTATTTGTGTGCATTATACAGAAGGGAGAGAAAGATGTTTTTCAGCGTTTGAGGCCATCTTCTCAGGGACTGAGGAACTTACTTGAAAGGGTGGTTCTCTCTCTCTTATGAATGAAATAAGCCAGTGAATAGACTTCAAATGGAATCACAGCAGCAGATAACAAACCTTGCCAAAAAAAAGTCTAACACTTTCTATTAAGAAAGAAGATCTGGCTTAGCCTAAGATTTTCCTCTCAGTGTTATTATTGCTGAAAGTTTATCAAAAGTCAGCACTTCCCATAACTACCTCCTCACCCAGTAATCACTGGAGAAATGGAACTCTTCTAACTCATTAAATATGACAGGCAAGCAAACTATTGTATGTATAATAGGATGAACTTTAAGCCTTTAGTTAATTAAAATGTGATGTTGATCAATCAGTACACTGAAAGAACCACAATGCAGTTAGGAAACATGAAGGAAGCAAAGACAGATTTCTAATTAACTTTTATGTCATGCTCATTTCATCTAGATAAGCAATCCACAGCTCAGAGAGGTACCACTGAGCCTATAGGTCTCATTCAACTTTTTTTTAATGCAAATTTTGATTCATTTTTTTAAATGCAAAACTGACACTGCAGTGTAGAATATCAATGTGTACCTTGAGAGATAAAGAAACCCTTTGATTTGACTTTTAATTCAACCAGATCAATTTCTACATTTAGAATGTATATGCACTAAAATGCAATTGTGTACACTTTTCCAAACTTTGCATTTCTGATTAAAACGTGCATGAAAATTCATATAATTGCTAATATTTAGAAAAAGGCACATTAGAGAGAATTGATAATGTGCATAAAAACTCAATACAATTTTATGAACATTTTTAAATTACAGTTTTGTATCAAAATGGAATAAAGCTAACTTTGAAACTCATGAGAAATTGAGGAACTGGTGAAATTATTTTAAGCTAATTTGTCTATTTGTCCTCTCATCTTGTGCCTTTTGTTGTTACTAATGTATATATTTCCTTGTATTACCAATCTAATGGAAGAATTGCTCTATTAAAATGGGGGGGGAAAGACACTTTTGCAACTAAAAACTAAATGTATAATGAATTTATTTTCATAATGAAAGATGAGGTAATAAAATGATTGATACTGCTATATTTAACATGCTATATTTAAAATGCTAGTTCTTGTATTTCAAGAAGGTCTGGCAAAAAATATGGAGAACTTGTGTGCTTCCATAATAAAGGCAACAGGTGGTCAGCATTGCTCCTATTCTGCTACAGTTCTAAGGAAAGTTCCAGGAGCTGTAGCTGGCATTTTGAACAGTTATCTCAAATAGTAATATTGTGTGTGTGTGTGTGTGTGTGTGTGTGTGTGTGTTTGTATGTAGAAGGGGGTTTACAAGCATACCATTTTTTTAAAGTTAATGATGTGCATTTACAAAAGTAAAAATATAAACACATTCTACAATAAGTGCAGACAATCATAAACAAACATTTGTCCAGCGGTTTTCAAAGTTATTAAGAATGTACCTTCCTCTTTATTTTGTTTCCTTTGTAGCCATTTTTCCACCGTTTCAGCACCGACGCTCTCTAACACAAATTCATCCAGTACCTGAGGGTGAAGAGAAAGATAGGCCTTCACTTTTTCATCTGTCAAACCTGCAAAAGAGAACATTATTGTTTATACCATTACTATTTCAAGGGAAAACGTAACAAGAAAAAATATCAAAATCCTCATTCAGAAATTAGCTCTGTTGTGCTAGGAATATCTCAAGAAAGGCTTTACAATGCTTAATTCAAAGGCATAAAGAGATAAAATAAGACACACTCAGCAAACAGAATCTGCATAGAAGATTATTAAGGGATAATTATGAATGAGAAATGTCTATGGAGTTTTTCAATCATCCAGGTCATGGTTGTCCCAAAGGTGCTTTTTCAAAAGGCAACTGGACGTTTTGGCTTTTTTTTTTTTTTTTTGCTTTGAAAACATTTTACTTCTCATTCAAAAAGCTTCTTCAGTTCAGTTCTTCAGAAAGAACAAAACAAAAAGAACAAAACAAAAAACAGACAAGAAAGTCCAGTTGCCTTTTGGAAAAAGCACCTTTGGGATATGAATGATAAACCTAGTTTAAGCAAACTGAAGCTGATTCTGTTTCATACAAAAATCAATATGATGGCATGTAGAGAGCCAAGGATTTGAAGGATTTGAAACGGGGTTTATGTTAACTAGACAAGAAAAAGATTTTCATATAGCAAAAAAGAAGAGGAAATCTAAGTTAAAACATCAACAAACTCAATATTAGAAAATACGGTATGTTAAATTAGAAACAGGCACAGTGAAACATTGTACAGTAAAGTCATCTGTTATTGATTTCTGACATATATGAATCCAAATAAATTTTAAATACATATATGAAAAGAGAAATAACAGAAAAATCAAAGAAAGCTAAGTATTAGAGTGCCATATGTTCATCCCCACCCATTTTACAACTTATACATATTGTTGCCTGTTCATACAGACTGAAAATCTGAAAATACACACAAGTAGGTTAAAAGCACTTCTGATTCTGAGAGGCAACTAAAGCTGAGAAAATAGAGTCTGCAATCACAACAGAATAGTGTGCAATGGCAGCACATGGAGGCATAAAGTGAGGCAATATATAGTCACGGGGACCATTCTACCCTTTAAAAAAACAAAGCAAAAATGTCCCCACTACAAGTAAAAACCAAGACAGTGAGATAAACACACCAACAGTCCCTGCCTTATGACCACAAAAGAGCCCAAAACATCTATTGTTAAGTGAGGCAGTTGTTAAATGAGTTTTGCCCCATTTTACAACCTTTTTTGCACTTATTAAGTTTATTTATTTATTAATAAAATTTATATGCCGCCCAATCCCTAGGGACTCAGGGTGGCGTACAAAATTAAAACAATAAATATAACAATAAAAATGAGTGCATTCATACAGTATGTCCCAATCATATCCCGGCCCCTCAGGGACATCAACCCCAGGCCTGCCGGAACAGGAGAGTTTTAATGGCTTTCTTGAAGGCCAGCAAGGTGGGAGTAGTTCGAATCTCGGGGGGAAGTTGATTCCACCATGTCGGAGCCACCACAGAAAAGGCTCTTCCCTGAGGGCCCGCCAGCCGACATTGTCTGGCCGACGGGACCTGAAGAAGGCCCAATCTGTGGGACCTCACCAGTCTCTGGGAATTATGCGGCAGTATGCGGTCCTTAAGTAACCTGGTCCTAAGCCATGAAGGGCTTTAAAGGTGATAACCAACACCTTGAATTGCATCCGGAGACCCACAGGAAGCCAGTGCAGCTCGTTAGTAACATGCTTGTTAAATGACTCTGACTTCCCCATTGATTTTGCTTGTCAGGTCTGATCAGAAGTGATCCTGTAGTGACCCCAGAACACTACAATCGTCATCAATATGAGCCAGTTGCCGAGCATCCAAATTTTGATCACTTGACCATGTGAATGCTGCATTGGTTGTAAGTGTGGAAAAATGATCATAAATCACTTTTGTCAGTGCACTGTAACTTCTAACAGTCACTAAATGAATGTAATTCATTTGCAAGTCAAGGACTATCTGTAGTAAATGTTAACTAGAAGAGTAAGTTGTAAAAGAAAAATTTAGGCATGGTTTGTACTACATCACAAAGCTGCAATTATTTATTGAAAAGAAAGAATTGTAAAGCTAATTGCTTTGATGATTAAGGATAAGGAAAGCAGTAAACCTTATGAACTCTAAAGTCTCCTCCTTCCATTATGTATTCAAGATGGACAGTGATTAATATTTATATGTTACTTAGTTATATGTAAGGGTGTAGGTCTGTACCTATGTTATATATAGGATGTTTAAATGTGTGTTATGTATGTGTACACTTTGAGTGTAAGCAACTAAATTTCATTTTTAATGTGTACCATTGTGTCCACAGTACAAAATGACAATAAAGGTTATCTATCTATCTATCTATCTATCTATCTATCTATCTATCTATCTATTATAAGAGTGATAATATAAAGAAAAACTCCAATTTTTACAGCACATAACAAAATTTTAAGTTAAAAAATGCCAAGTTCCACTGAGGTATTTCCAGATTCAGTCAGAAAGACAATGTCATGATTAGTGATAAGATATAAAGCTGAAAAGTGATAATCAAGTAGTCAAATTGCTGCTTTTGTTAAAAAGAATAATAGTTTGTTAAATGTATATGCCACATGACTTCCAAAGACTCTGAACGTTCGTTGATCCTGAATGGTTTAAATGTAGTTTTGCAGTTCAAAAATGAAAAGAGGTGAACATACAGTAGTAAAGAATGCTGCAAGCATAAAGGTTTGCTATATGTTAGTGCAGCATAGCTGGTTCTGCTTCTCTGGACTAAATGAATGAATGAATGAATGAATGAATGAATGAATGAATCCCACAAGTCAAGCTTTACTCCTGATGAGGACATGAATTTTGTCCATATAGAGGTTTTTTTGTCAACAATGAAAAAACTATCTACTGCTGCCTTTTTTGACTTCCCCATGTAATCCTCAGATTTCCTGGTGGTCTCCTGTATATTAACTCGGTTTGATCCCGCTGATCCTCACTAATATCAGCCCAGACAGCTATGTACTGCCACCTGGCGTGACATCTTCCATAGGAAACAGGATCAAAAATAACTCCTAACAGATTTCAGAACATTAGACAAGAGTCTTACACATAATTTGAAAAACTTCCCAAAGCTTATCTACTTTTTCTCTACATGCCAAGATTGATCCTTGCTCATTCATACATGAAATGAATTCCATTTTCAGCAAAAATCTCATTTATAACTTTAAAAATACAGTTAACTGTAAGGAAAAGTCACAAGGAAGAAGAAAATAGAACCATGGTAATGCCCATACTTTAGAGACAACCATACTTATGAGGTCATAGCCTGAATGTACAAGAAAAAAAGAAAAAAGAAATTACATGGGAAGATTTTTACTGCAAAAATCAGAGCGGATAGCTAGGAAACAAATCAGTTTTGTTAAGTAACATGATAGAACATTGAGCACATAACTGAACACCTCTTTAAAACAAGAATACATTGGCATTCTGCAGGGTAAATGTGACTTGTTATAAAGAATATTTTTTCTTTCAGTAAGGTGCTGACTTCCCTCCCAATACTGCAATTTGTATGCCAAAATGCAAAGCCTGAGAAAATTCAGTAAGGCACATTCTTTAAAAACTGATTTTTCAGTGATATGTTCCTTTAATTATCCCATTTCACAAACTAATTTATACATTTTATCAGGGAATGTGTCTACCAAAGACTAAAACTTGCTAGAATATGCCTGCATTTTGTATATCATAAAATTTAAACTATGCCTTTAAAACAGTAAAGAAACTATAAACAAAGGCAGCCCTGTGCCAGTACTAATTTGATCAAATAAATAAATAAAAGCAATAATTATACCCTGAGAGATATAAGAAATTTAAGCAGAAAATGTTTAATATATGCAAAATAATTCCATTTTTGATTAGCATTTTTCTTACCCTTACTTATATCCAACTGATGTCCATGTACTTCGTTGTTCATAATAAACCAGTATAATAAACCAGGATCACAATCACTAAGTTTAAATCAAGTAGTATTATCAAAACACTACAAAGCAGCAGCTTGCACTTCTCTTAAAACTTTATGAGCTTTGATATACAATATTTTTTTAAAAAAATTATTTCACCACAAACATATTCCTACCTTTGTAACTGGCATGATACAAATATTTTTCAAAGACGTATCGGAAACAAGTACATCAAATTGCCTAGAGGGAGTAAGTTACATGTTTTTACAAACAAAAAACACTCTGAATATAAAAGTGTTAATTAGTTCTTCTGGGGACCGCAATGACATCTTAACTATAATAATGCCTTAACTACTGCTTCTCAGTGAGAGTATATGGGAGATAAACATTTTTTTTTAATGTTAGCAGTATGAATAATGTTCACTACCATCATCACTGTGTTTCCAAATTATTGGAAGGATTTCTTATGTGTTAGATATTTTGCAGCAACCATATACAGTAAATATGAGGAGTTTGTTTACTCTCATAGGATATACTGTATAATCTTAAAACTGCTCCGCTAAAGAACAATAATAAGATTTGAATGAGGAATTCCTCAATTCACAGACTCAGTTTATATTCTATACTGTAAGAGATTATACATGTATGCAGGTGTGTATTTGTGTGACAAGTTCACCTCATATTACAGCAGCATCGGTATACTGGAAGTTCAAGGATCTTCACTTAATGGCTATTTGTTTTACAACTGTACAAATTATAACAACCACAAAATGGATGTTTTGTAGCCTATAAATGGTCTTGCTGCCCCCATGATCACATGACTGCATGTCAGGGGACACTTTATCACCCATCACAGTATTTTGTGATCACATGACTGCAATTCAAATGAATGGGTTTGCTTAACAACCACTGCAAAAAAAGGCTGGAAAATTACTTCTGGTCATGGATGCCTATTAGGTTCATACATGAAGGTTCAAATTAACCGATTTATTGCTAAAAGCCTATGCACAGAAATCTACTCAGATTAATGGTCAGCACCCAGACAGAATTGGAAAAGCACTAAAGGCATTCAAAGGGGGGTTGTTTGTGGTTACA